TGAAAAAACCGAGGTGATGAGGAGGATTCTCTCTCGAGATAGTGTACATTAAATTATTACCAAGACGAAAATGTAGACTTAATCGAAGAAGTCCGTGAACAACAAGAAATCCCTGAAGAACCATAGGAGATAATCACACCTACATCTCCTCAAGAAATAAACGAACTAATTAAAAATAGCTCACCGAGAAAAGCATCTGGTCTAGATGAAATTTCAAATAGAGCTCTGAAGTATCTACCAGCAAAAGCAATAGTACATTTAACCAACGTAACGAACGCGATCCTTAAATACAGGCTCGTCCCAAATCGATGGAAGGAAGCCCACGTTATTATTATTCGATCTTATGCGACAATTCTGGCATACTCCTCTCGATCTTGTGTGGCTCTAAAGAGAGCATGGGAATCGAGGTTTGTCCAATCCCTTATGTTTTTAAACCATGAGTATTTCTTTCTTCCGATGCCTCGTTTTCCTTCTATCTTCCCTTCTATAATAAGCTTTGAGAACTGGTACTTGGAATTTCGAAATATATGACCCAGATAAGCAGTTTTTCTTCTTTTTATTATTGGTAGCAATTCTCGTTCTCTGCCCATTCGATTTAATACTTCGACATTTGTAGTGTGATCTGTCCAGGGAATTTTAAGTAGTCTTCTAAATACCCACATTTCAAAGTCCTCCAGTCGGTTCATCACATTGGCCTTTATGGTCCAGGTTTCTACACCATATAGCAGTATGGAGTAAATGTAACATTTTACAAAGCGATATCGAAGTGTTAAGTTAAGGCTGCTGTTGCTTAGTAAGGTTCTCATATTAGTAAATCATCATCATCCAGCCTCAAGAGTCCACTGCTGAACATAGGCCTCTTCCTCATGTTTCCAACCCCGTCTATCTTGCGCCGCTCTTATCCAGTTTTTATTGAGTCTTCTTAAATCGTCAGTCCATCTTGCAGTTGGTCGACCGACGCTTCTCTTGTTTTCCCTTGTCCTCCATTCCAATAACCTCTTTGTCCATCGCCCATCTGTCATTCTGGCTATGTGTCCTGCCCATCTCCATTTTAGTCTGGCTATCTTCTCGATGATGTCAGTCACTCCGGTTCTTCTCCTGATGTCTTCGTTTGTTATTCTGTCTCGGAGAGTTATTCCTAACATGGACCGCTCCATTCTTCTCTGCGTGACTCTCAGTTTGGTAGCTGCTGCTTTTGTTAAGGTAAGTGTTTCTGCTCCGTACGTCAAGACTGGGAGGACGCACTGGTCAAATACCTTTCTCTTTAGGCATGTGGGCAGCTCACTTTTAAAAGTTTCTCTCAGTTTTCCAAATGCTGCCCACCCAAGGCCGACTCTTCTCTTCAGTTCATGAGTCTGGTTATCTCTGCCAATCATAATTTCATTTCCCAGGTATTTATATCTATCTACGAGTTCTATTTCTTTCCCACCAATACTGATGTTCTGGTTGGGCACCAAATTGGTCATGATTTTTGTTTTCGAGATATTTATATTTAAACCTACATTTTCTGTAGCCACAACGAGTTTCTGTACCATCTCTCTTGCCATACCTAGATCTTCAGCTATTGTAAGTATATCATCGGCGAAACGTAAGTTGTTTAGATATTCTTCATCTATTTTTATTCCCTTTGTCATTCAATCCAAATTCTTAAAAGCATGTTCTAGCACCGTATTAAAAAGTTTAGGTGACATTGGGTCTCCTTGTCTAACCCCCCGTTCTATTTTTATGCGATTACTGTTAGTATGTAATTTGACAGTGGTTGTTGCCTGCAGATGTATAAGTAAATGTCATATAGTAAATGTTAGTAAATATTTATATTATATCTTTATTATATCTTATATATTTAATTGCATATATCGTGTTCTACTAACCACCATTACCTTCGTCTTGTCTATATTAATCTTCAAGCCCAGTCGTTCTCCTTCAATGTTTATTCTATCTATTAGTCGTTGTAGCGCTTCTTGTCTATCAGCTATTATGACTGTATCATCAGCATAGCGAAGATTACTGATAGTCTGTCCGTTGATTTTGATTCCATCTTCAGTGTCACTTAAGGCTCTATCGAAAATCGTTTCAGAGTAAAGATTAAAAAGGAGGGGTGACTGAAGATAATCCTGTCGTACACCTTTTTCGATTGAGAAATATGATGTAGATTCCAGTCCTACAACTAGAATTTTAAGGTCATTCTCATCTATCGAACGTTTCTGGGTCAATCTTACTAATTCTGAATGATTAACATACTCGAACGCCTTTTGGTAATCTATAAAGCGTAGGTAGACATATTTTTGCTGACTTTTGCATTTCTAAAGTAGGACAGTTAAGCTATAAAGTGCTTCTCTTGTGCCAAATCCTTGTCTGAAACCGAACTGTATGGGGCTAATGTCTCTTTCACATCTGTATATTCTTGTGTGAATTATTTTTAAGAAGAGTTTTAGGACCTGGCTCAATAAGCTGATCATTCGGAATTGGTCACTACTATTAGCGTTTGGATTTTTTGGGATTGGTATAAAGGTTGATTGAAGCCAGTCTTATGGTATTTGACCGGACCCATAAATGTCATTAAAAAGATCTACCAAGGCGTCTATATTGTCTTCACGCAACATAGAACCTCTATGTATATGTCGTCTGGGCCTGTTGCTTTTCCCTATTTGCTCTGTTTGATTGCCCTTACAACTTCTGACTTCAATATTTTGGGGTGCAAATAAAATAGAAAATTTAGTCACAGATATGTAAAACACATAAACTGAACAAAACTCAGCGATTACCACACAATTCGACTTCTTTGACATATATACTGTCAAACGTTGATCTTAGAATTCTTTACAAAGCAATATAATTAATATCTTTTTGGCTGTCAGTGTGTAACAAATAAAAAAAACTAACGGTCTCATTAGAACAATAATAGAATGACTAATTGGTTGTATACGAATTCATCAGAGTGAACATGTGTTAATTGGGAAAAAGTAAAAGTGTATTAAGTAGTTCTTTCAACCAAAGAAATTCATTATGTTTTTTTCTTTTCGTTTTATTTATTTTATTCACAAGGAAATACAATGTTATATGTTGCAAGATATATTTCGAAATATATTTTTAATTAAATTATCTAAAATATATTAAATTGTGTTTATAAATATTAAATGATGTATTACAATAATAACAAAAATAAGTTATAAGATCTCATCCAAGATAATGATAGCTTTGAAACTTTATAAATTAGTGCAAATAGTTTTTATAACTAACAAATAAACTAGATCTGTGATAATATGTTTGCGGATACTAGGAAAACCTATTGGATGTATTTAATATATCATCAAGATATAGCCCAGGCTGTGGGGGAAAAAGTACTCTCTAATCCAGAAAGTTATGTAATCTGGCCTAGGATGGCCATCTCTGCTGATTAAGGAGAAGGATAGGCCAGGCACTCCGCCACAGTATAGGGCTCAATGTCAACTAGGTGTTGAAAAACCTTTCTTTTAAAAGTTCTATAGTGTGTTTCCTGTTTAATGTCAGATGGTAGACTGTTATAAAATTTAACACACGCATACAAAGGACTTCTCTCTGTTATAGACAATCTGTGAAGTGGCAAATTCAAGTTAAGGCTTCTTGTACTATATTCATGATTGGGAAGCAGGTGATAAAATAAAGAAAAATGTTTAAAAAGTAACATAATACATTCAAATATATAGATGGCTGAGAAAGTGAGTATATTGAGTGACTTGAATCGGCTTCTACACGATTCTCCCGCCTTTAGTCCTAAGATCACCCGGACTGCCTTTTTTTGGACTATAAAGACAGTTGAGCTATCTACTGCAGCACCCCAGAAGATTACTCCATATCGCATAACAGAATAAAAGTTTGCATAATATACTGATAGTAAAATCCCCTGGTCCAGATAGCTCTTTAACACTCTTAATGAGTAGCAGGCTCTATTCAGTTTTTTTGTTGTATTTTCTATTTGTTCCCCCCAATTCAGATTCTGGTCAATATGGATACCAAGAAATTTAACTGATCTAGCAGTTTCCGTGTTTTCTGATAGAAAATTAATTGTATCTGGAAACTGTTTTCGTGACTGGCTGGTTCTAAAGTGGACAAAAACTGTCTTATCAGTATTAAGCAACAACCGATTTCCACTGAACCACTGTTCAGCCTTGCTTAGAATTTGCTCTGCCACTGTGAGGAGTGTTTCTAAAGTTTTTTCCCAGAAAAGCACATTTGAGTCATCAGCGAAATTTACAAGGTTTGAGGAACAACTAACCACCGCATTTGGAAGGTCGTTTATGTAGACCAAAAAGAGAAAAGGCCCCAGAACACTCCCCTGTGGTATACCTAATTTTAAATTGATCGGTTCAGAGTAAACCTTACATCCCCTTTTCTCCAGGCATACCTTTTGCGACCTATCTGTGAAAAATGATTTTATCCATTTTAATGCTGGTCCCTGTATTCCATAAAGATGTAATTTTTGTAATAAGAGAACATGATCTAGGCTATCAAAAGCCTTAGATAGGTCCAAAAAAGCACCCAGTGTTTTCATCTTTGCCTCCAGTTTTTCTAAAATTTTTGATATAAAATCAAAGGTCTCAACAGATCTCCCTGCGAGAAAACCATGCTGTGAACTACTAAATAAGTTGTTTGTAGTAAAAAAGTTTTGTAGTCTGAAATATATTGCTTTCTCAAATATTTTTGAGAATGATGGAAGAAGGCTTATTGGTCTATAGTTCTCCATCTTAGTAACATCACCTTTTTTATGAAGTGGCTTGACAATTGCCAGTTTTAAATTTTGAGGAAATTTACCTTGCCTGAAAGAAGCATTAACTATAAAAGAAAGAGGAAGAGAAATCTCTGATGAAACATATTTTATTAAGTTGATTGATATTTCGTCATAACCAGAGCTATGCTTGTTTTTTAAGTTATTTATTATATGACTTATTTCTTTCTATGGTTGTATGAGTATACCTCTTGAGCTTAATTTGTTATTTGGTCGGTAATAAATATGTGATTTATTTTCAGGTGACCCATCAATCAACGGGCCAAGTAATGGTTCTCAAAATGAACACACGGCATTCGAATCGTCGCAACATGCTCAAAGAGATCCAACTGATGAACCGTCTGTCACACCAAAACATCTTAAGACTAATGGGAGTGTGCGTCCTCAAAGCACAACTTCACGCTCTCACGGAATACATCGACGGTGGTTCATTGCATCAGCTTATCCATAACAGATCGGTGGAAATAGAGCAGGAGACGAGGATAGAAATAGCTAAAGACATCGCTTGTGGGATGGAGTACTTGCATTTGAAAGGAGTTATGCATAGGGACTTGACGAGCAAGGTAAGTTCACATGATTTCTAATCACGTAAGAATGAATTTACTAATAGACACATTTTTTGTGATATCAATTTAGTGCTCCGATCAAACCATTAAACTAGAGGTTTTTATAATATATTTGCTGTTAGACATTAATTAATTACAAGGAGATATCAAGACGAATTCGTCACCTTAGGGAAGCAAAGAATGTAAATAAGAAACTACTGATACCCTCTCTATGTGTGTGTGTGTTTTTTTTTGTAGAAAAATACATTTATGTATCATCAGGTCTAAATGCTTCCTGGTATGTTGGACTCGTATGTTACAATACCAACTATATCCATCCCATTCTTATGCCGTTCACGTTGTCGAAGTCATTGCTTCTCTCCTTCTAACCTTCTCTATTTTGAGGTGGCTTCCTGTTAATGGATGAAGATCCTGGATGACTTTTACCGCAAATGTGCTGATTGCATACCAAGCTGCTTTCGATAAAAGTGTTTCTCCTAATATGGTCTCTTGTCGAATTTTCTGTTTGATAATTTTGTCCGGAGTATTGCGTAGCAAGTTGGAGCTAGGAAACACGAAGAACCCTGCTGCGTATCTTTACTGAACCCTAGACAGTACGAGCACTCTGGAGAATCGTCATGTTTAAAGCGATATAGATATGCTCGAAAACAGCCATGTCCTGAGAGCATCTGCATGAGATAGTAGTTGACAGCATTTACCTGTGGTACAAGACAATGCGTTCACCTGCCCGTTGTTGCGGAATCCCACTGTAAATGCATCAATCAATGCTGTTTTTTCTTTAGTTCATCTTGGCACAACGTAGATGTAGTTGACTCTCTTTTTCGAGAAAGGATCTTCCTTTCTTCAGCTAGCGTATACAAGACTGCTCTTACTACTGACGCTTTAGCACTGACATACTCTACTTGCTGCTTGAAGCTGAGTCTGGCAATAGTCAGTACTCCCAAGTATTGAAGGAATTATTGTGATGTGATTTCATGTTCTCCAATGCTCAGTGTTAAGTTTCCACCTGTTTCCAACTAGTAATAAGCACTGTCTCCGTTTTGGTCCTCGCTACTTTTAAATTAACTGTGTTCATCCAATGGCAGATTCTCTCGAAGATGATGTCGAACATTCGATTTATTTCCTCAAGATGCTTTGTGACGATCACCACAGCCACGTCATCGGCGTATGCCACAAGCCTGCCATCTCTTGGTAATTCTAGTTTTAACAACCCATCATATATAATATTCCACAAAAGACGGCCTAGCACAGAGCCCTGTGGTACTCCTCCAGTAATCTTATATTCCCTCGAGCCAGACTTTGTATCATACTTCAAAAGTCGATCAGTGAAGTAGCTAATCACTATCCTCCTTAGATATGCCGGTACCCTCATTTCGGTTTAAACATCTGCAATATTAAAAAAATATTGAGTATTGCAATATTAAAAACAATTTTCGAATATCTTTAAAGGAATTTGAAAATTATTTATTAAAAACGTTGGGAAAACAAATATACAAATAAAAGAAATACTGGCATATTTCAAATTTTAGTGTATATTTCATGATATTTTTATAGTTGTATATAAAGATTTCTGCGAATTCGTTGTTTTCAATCAATAAATCGAACAATAACTATTGTTTTTACGAGCATTTATTGGATCAACGAATTGCCGTGACTAATGTAAAATCAATGATATTTTTAACTCTGGTTTAACGAACACAAATTGTTAAAGGTGAAATATATACAATACGTAGTAGGATTTAAATCATATATAAACGTTGAGAAAAAGGTTCTTAACCCATTCAATGCCAGATGTTTTTTGACAGATTGGGCCACCTGGCCCAATTATTGGGTCTCAGGGTAATACACTCTCCTCAGAGCATGAGTATGTCTTACCCCTCTGGGTATCTCTTACCCCTCTGTCCAAATTGAATTTGTTTGTGCATTTTGACGTTTGATGCTGCGTTCTTGTTGTATATTTGATTGTTGCTAAGTATCTATGGTCTATTCTACATTTGGCTAAGGAGAGAGTTTATTTATTGTGTCTAAGGCCTTTTGAAAATCTACAAAGACAAGTATAACAAATTATAGTTAACCCTCTAAGAACGAAATTTCCAAAATTTTAAAAATTCTTCCGAAAAAATTAAATTTAAATCAATCATTATGTGTATGACAAATTAATATTTAATTTTTATTTTTGCAAAAAAAATTAAATGTTACAAAAACGGTACATCAGGCATCTCAAAGTAATATAATAATTTTAATGCAGATATTTATTGGTGCAAAAACATCATTTTTGAATAGCATGACAATAAATATGATGAAAATCGTAAAGACAATTCGAATTTTTATTAATACATAAGTACAAGTTGCACTTCTCACAATAATGCACAAGAACTGCTTTACAACCAAGTTTTCGACATCGTCCTCTTTTGTCTTTCACAACGGCCCAATTTCCTATTTCATCCTGCCGAATATCCTTTTGAGGAATCATTTTTGTAGCTGCACTTTTGTGTTTTTTTGCTGCATGAAGATCATCAATAAAGCTACTAACTGCTGGGACGTCTTAATTTCTAGGTAACTGGCAGTGTCTTTCCTTGCTTCATTAGGCTTTCGGCCATGCGATTCTTAAACTCCAACAGAGACAGTTCGTTTTTCTTTGGAACACCAAAATCATTGCAGTCACGTCTATATAAAAGCCAACAATTTACAACTGCCATATCCATTAAAATGGAAATGGAAATTAAATGGAATAAAAAACGATGGTAAAAGAGTTTTTTATAGAAGTAGCTTCTGGTAAGCTGTAGTTCCACATTGGAGTAATACTGTCAGTATTGTTTTTTTCTGTTCTTCTTCTTCTTCGTCTAGCCATTCACGTCCACATCTGAACATAAGCTTCTTCAAGTCTTCCTTTCCATTGTTTTTTATTGTACGCTACTTGTAGCCAATTTTTCCCGGCAGTCCTTTTCAGATCATCTGTCCATCTCATAGGAGGTCTGCCTCTGGGTCTTTTGTGTTGGTGTGGTCTCCAGGTTAAAATTGATCTGTGCCATTTGTTTAGATCGCTCTTAGCTACATGTCCAGCGTATTCCCATTTCAACTTTAATGATTTTTGCACCACATCGGTGACTTTGGTTTTCTGTCTTATCCATGTGTTTGTTTTCTTGTCCTTAAGTGATATACCTAACATTGCTCTTTCCATCGCGTATTGAGTGACTCTAAGTATATTCATATTCTTTTTTGTGATTGTCCATGTTTGTGCCGCATAAGTTAATATCGGAATAATGCATGCATCAAAAACTTTAGATCTAAGATGTAATTGAATTTGTTGATTTCTGAGTTTTTTCTGTTATATCGGTATATTCATTCTTATTGCGCCTACTTTGTTCGTTTATTATTTCTTCACCACCATCACTAAGGTGTTCCCCAATTTCAGAACCAGAGTCCTCTTCTATTATCCATTCACCATTTTCATGGCTTGATGCCGTTTTTGTCCATAAAACACAGCTGGATCCATTTTGAACTATTTAAGTTACTTGACTCTATTTATACGGTTTATAGTGATAAGTATTTTACTGATTGTGTCGAAATCAAAATTACAGTTATCTGTTAGCATCAGCCAACTTGTATCCTAATTCGAGAAGCATGTGGTTAAGAAATTAGTCGGAGTATGTCGCAGTGACTGTTTCTGTATGAGGCGTAATAAATGTTACGAATTCGTAACTTTCGGCATCGATGAGATTAGGATAATAATAGTTTGCCTACAAACCGCTTTTGATTGGAACGTTACACTCGTCCTTAGAGGGATTTAGATCTTTAGATCCTTGGATCAAAAAATGAAAAAAATAACATTCATCCATGTTTCATTACTTCAAACCTAATAATTTATAATAATATATTTGTTCGTTTTTTTTCTTACCATTAGTTGACAAACAAAATAAAAGCCGTATTGAAACCGAAATTTTTATCTAAATTTATCATTTTTTCAATTAACCTTGCGTTCATTAGCTGCCTTATCCATTATCAACGACTACAAGTCGCTACCTTTTCTAGTTTTCACCTTCAAAAATAACCTTACCATAATTCGAAACAACGTAAAACGGTGCTAGAGGTAATTAAACTGTGTCACTTAAACAAATTTACAATTACATACATTTTTGCAAACATTTATAAATTATACTATCAAATTTTATCTCTACAAATTAGTTTAGTTTACATACCCTAAAATATTTCGTTGTGGCATTAAGCTTAGATTAGATTATTATGTTTAGGATGTTTATGTTTCATGGCTTTTCTAATTAGTAAATTTATTTGTGTTATTGTAATTTTATAACAATTATATACAGTATAATATGAGGTCTGGCTATTAAATAACGAGACTGCTTGTAAAAAAGAATTTTATTTTAAAAACTCTTCTACAATCGAATGCTCTCCTTTAATAATATATTCCCCTTCCGTCGCCACACACCGTTCCATTCTTTTTTTTTTTTTTTCATTGGTCAAAGCAATGCTGGAAGTCTTCTTTCGTTAGAGCTTTTAGGAGCTCCGCCGTTTTTCGCTTCACCTCTTCCATCTACTCGAACCGAATTCCTTTTGAGGCAAACTTGATCTTCGGAAACAGGCTCAGCAATCATCCGAATGCTCATACGACGATCTCCGCGCACAATTTCATTTATTTTGGTCACTGTTTGCGGAGTTGAAACAGAGACAGGTCGACCTGGACTTTGGTCATCTTCGGCGCTCTCTCGGCCTTCAGAAAACCGTTTATACCATTCGAAAACACGCTTACGAGATAGAGAATTCTCACCATAGGCCTCTTTCAACAAATTATAGCACTCAGTCGGAGTTTTTTTTTTACGAGAAATTTCACATAAATCATGTTTTTCGTCACACATTGTTATCGGCACGAGAAAAAAACACGTTTTTTCTAACCTCTATAGAAAAAATATTACTACAGCGACGAAAACGTGTTTTCGTACTGGAAGAGTAGACACTTCCAGCTATCCAATACTGCATTC